TGAGGAGGGCATTGTTGAACATAACTCCAAAAGTACATGAACATGAAGGAGGCTTGGCTAGAAACATAAATGGGAAGAGGCTTCGGGACTCCATAGAAGACCAGAGCCCCATGAGGGCGAAACCTCTCAATCTGCCAAGCCGCTTCAAAGTAGACCAAAGCCTCCCAGAGCTAGAGCTTCCTAATCCTCCGGAGCCCCCTACTTGTCAGACAGCAAGACTCAAAATGATGAAGCCCCAAAAAATTAGGCTTCCAAGGAAGTAGATCCAGAAGATCAGGCTCCAGGAGGGAAGACTCAAATACAAAGGTGGAGCCGGAGCCCGCAGGCTGTGGAACCGTCCAACAATAGGCCCTAAAGCTGACTGTGCAGTTAAGGCCCAACTGTCTAAAGATGTGGGGTAATGGGAGAAAGTAGTTTGAATAAATAAACACCCACTTCCTAGATTATAGGAAGTGGTAGTTTGTTAGAATTTGTAAGCACAAATGAAACACACAGCGCAAGAAGAAGAATACAAGACACATATCCACAAAATCAAGTTTTATCTTTTCCAAGTAGTTTATCCATAAGTTGTTAGTAGTTCTTATCTAATCATGCCTTAATTTACTTTGCTTTATGTTAATTTTATTCTATTTCATATTAATTTAAGTTTTCATGCTTGCTTTATCCAATTTCTAGTAGATTTTAGCTTAATTTATCCAAATTTAGACGTGCAGCGGCTCCACCGCCGGAGTCGCCCCCAATCTAATAACGGAAAGACTCTTTTGAGTACTTATGGAACTCACACAGCTTGATTCACAGTGCATCACATTTAGAAGAGACATTGGATCCCCTTCGGAAAACCTACCTTGGAGACATTAGAAAATTCATTTTTCGGTTGCAACACACTCAATGATGAAATCTAAGTAATATGAACTCTTTCTCTCTCTAACACTAAATAGCTCACTGAAATTATAATATTTCCATTACGAAATCCGAGTTAAGAGTTGAGTAAACATGCTTGAGAACATTTTGTAACCAACTAACTACCTATTTACTTCAACTAACTAATTATTCGCTAGTTATTCCATACAATGTCAAATAAATATTGTAATTTCTCCATGGTTTTCTTGTAAACAATTTGTCTAGTGTCACAACTTCAATTTTGCATCAATTAACCTGCATTTGATCTTCAATCTTTAATCTACTTTCTAATCGTTGTTGACAATATGGAAGGAAATGCATGTCCAATGTATGTAGGATATATCAATCCAAAGCTATTTAATTTATTTTAGAAGTAGTGTTAGATATTAAATAGCATGAGAATAAAAAAAATAATTTAAAATAAACAAAGTAAAAAAAATTTTAAAAAAATAATAATAATTACAATTTATTGTACACTTTAATAAATACATAATAGAAAAACAGTAGAATGCTTGGTTCCAAGTCGAAATCTAATGAAATGACAATTTTACTTTTATTTTAAAATAATCTAGCAATTTCAAATTGCAGTTGAAATAACAAGTAACTATACCAAAATCAAAATAGTGTTTTGAATTATTCAATTTTAATTTGGTGTTTTGACAAATCCAACCATCCATTATCGAATTCAAGTCAAATCATAATTTTTTTTAAAAAAAAATTAAATCTTTAGACTATTTATATACACCGTTTTAAAATTCATTGATAACAATATTTTCAAAAAATAAAATATCAACTAGTTTTTTTTGTTTTTCTTTTACAAAATTTGATTTTTTTTATTAATGTTATTTTTTTCCAAAACTCAAAAAAATCTCTCTTTAGTCTTGCATAAAAATACTATGCACATATACATAGGGGCATTTAACATATTAATATAAATACTATGCTATTGATTACCCTCCCTTTTAACCATCCATTGTTTCATCTTTTGTCTATTGCTTTAGTATAAAAGCTTTGATCCGTCTTCGATTCGTTATATTCAAAAGCTCCAATAAACTCTAAAATCTCTTGCCACCAGCCGTATGCATGAGAACTCGCACGTGCGGTTCTTTGGAGGGGGAGCCAGTAGGAGCCATCCCATCCCAATAGCGGTTGGGGCGTTTGATACGATTTTGTGAGATTGTTTCTGATGCTGCTACCAAAGACACACTACAAAAAAAAAAAAAAAAAAAAGTATATTTGTAACAGAATTCCGTTACTGAAGATCACGTAGCTAACGTAATTCCATCATTAATTCCGTCTCTAATATCATTAATAACGGAAAAATTAAATTTAAAGACGAAAAATTCTCGTTAAAAAAATGATATTTTCTTATAGTAACATGTCTTTTGACTATGGAAAAGAAAATACACTATAGGACTACAGTTACACCAATACTTGCTGGGAATAATTAGGAAAGAGATCTTTTCCCTCTTTCTTTTTTTTTTGCTTATAATGTAGTTGAAACTTTTTTTTTTTTTTTTTTAAATATAATTCAACATGATGAATAAAAAACAAAAATAAAAATAAAAATAAAAATGGCCATCAACACGGATTTTCATATCCTATTGATATGTTGCCTATGTATACATAGATAGATAGATAGATTTCACAAATTTACAAAAAAAATATTATTATTCACTCTATTAATTATAACAATAATGAATTTCATATATATTTATCTATGTTGGAAATAAAGAACAAATTCAAAGTTCAATATCGAAAAATAAAGAAAAATATCATTAGTTATAAGATAAAATCTAATTCTATATAGAATAAAGCGTTTTGGGAAGTTCAAAAATAAATTCGTATGATTTTACAAAAAAACGGACAATATTATACTATGCGTTGAATTTCTTTAATCACAATAAATTGGTAAGAGAGTCAAGTTTGAATGAGTAAGTTGGAGATTGGATTCGAATGATCATGTGAAACCCGATTTTGTGTTTCGTGTTTTGTATCGAAAGTCTTCCTAATATTGTAGTGAATTGGGGAAGTAGGTCTATTTGAGGATTAAAAGGTGGTGCAAGATATTTGACTTGAGCATATTATGTGTTGAGTTACCCTAGTGACAAACAATCTAGATTATTAAAACGTTTGGAAACTAAAGAAGAAAAAAAATGATAGAAAAAGAAATTGAGGTGCCTAATGCAACAGATTGAGATACATACATATATTTCTTCCAATTTTCTAACATAATATGAAATGATCAATAAAGTCTCATATTCGCTTAGAAACAGAAAATGCGTTGGAGTAAACAAAAAAATTATTTCTGTAACAAAACATTTTTGTCTCTAAATCTACTTTTTCCATTACTACTGACATTATAGACGGAATTAAGAATGGAATTACGTTAGCTACGTGAACTTTAAGGACGGAATTCCGTTACAAATATATTATTTTTTTTTGTAGTGAAAAGAAATAATATATATAATCTAAATATACACAAATAATAATAATAATAATAATAATAATAATAATAATAATAATATAACAACTACTACGATTTAAATAGTTTTAAATGCATCATGAGATGTTATAAATATATTGATATTTAATTTTAATATATATTGGTATGATGTGTTTTTATTATCCCTAATAAATGAAAAGCCCATGAAAGTTGAATTAGTGGTATATTTTTCCCATTCATCCTCATAATTAATATTCAGCATTATTGCACCAAACTATTTATTTATTTATTTAACTTTATATTTTCTTGGTAAGCAGATAGAGCAAAGTTTCCGATAAGAACACATTAAATTAAAATCTTTGGTATCCAAAGTTGACAGTCTTGAATATTACCACATCTTTATATACCAATTATTTCAAGCTATTGAATTTCAAATGCAATAAAAATACCACCTACTAATAATGTTACAAATAAAATCGTATATAAAACTAACATGATTGTAAATATTAATTAAATAAATACTACATTTCAAACGCATATGTAATAATACTTTATATTAACAAGAAAATCATACTAATAATTTTAAAAGTGAGTTTGGAAACAAACCACACCAAGTTTGAAATCTTCTTGAATTGTTTCACCAATATAATTTGTTTAATTGCAATAATTTCATAATGAATACAGCTAGAGAGAGAGAGAGAGAGAGATGAGTAAAATTAAAGAAAACCACTCATTAAATCACCCAACTTAATTTGTAACAAGCTATTGTTGAGGGGAATTATTAAAACCTAACTACAAAAATAAAGATAAATTCAATAATAATAATAATAATAATAATAATAATATATTCAACTCACATAATAAATCACAATAAATGGCATAATAAAAAACATTGAATTGCATTGGGCCAATGGATGAGTAAATTGTGAGGGGGCTAACAGTTCATCAAAAACCCATAAATGACATGTAAAAATTTGCCCCTGACACAACCAAACAATATACAATGGAGAAACAAACACACACCACACCCTTTATATAAATAAATAAATAAGTATTATTTTACCATTCCAAATTAATTGATTAATCAATTCATCATCAATCAAGAATCCAAAGATTTGTTAGAAAACTTGCTTTAACTTTATGGCTGCTCAGCTTTTCCTCTCTCCTTTTCTCTTGTATATGCATGAAAATGGAACAGAGATACATATATACATACACATAATATTTGTATTATATTAAAGTATATCATTTGTTGTTATATTTGTAGCACAAGGTGTGCTATTCAGCACAGTGCTGAATTTTAAATTCTTTAATATAATATAAATACAGCACATGACTTAACAACATACATTATAATTATGAACTAACGGTACATACTTTTATTACAAACAACGCATACTTTATAGCGATACGATGCGTAGACATTGGCAATGAATGACGGCCTTCCTTACTTGTTTCTTTCCTTGGTGCAGTTAAGTGTGTGAAATTGCGATGTATGTATTTATAATAATACAGATTTATTTACTACAAACTAATTTCCTGTTTCTGCAACCTATCTTGGGATTTTTTCCTACAATGAATACATTTCCTGCCCCTTAATAATTTACTTTCTTGAACCATTCCTCATATTCAATTCTATTCCAATTCAATTCACCTCTCTCCACCACCTCTCACCATATGATTTAATTAAGCTTTAAAGCAATCCCATCCCACTTTCTCTCTCTCTCTCCTCTTCATTCCGGCTATATATATCATAGTCCGGTCCTCATCATCAATCTCTAAACCCAATATCTTCTTCTTCTTCTTCAGCTACAAGTGGTGGCGCCACCGCCGTCGCCAATTCGACCACAAACCCACCTTAGTATCATCTTCGTTTCTTAAAAGGTATCCATCCTTCTAACTTACTATCTGTTTCTTGATCAAGGTTGTGTTTATTGGAAGAAATTATATATATATATTCTTGATTTGGTAAACCCTGGGTTTGTTTATTCATTCAGGGAGAGAAGCAAAAGTGAGGTGGGGTTGCATCCATCAGGCAGGCAAGGTTTTGTTCAATCGTCGATTACCATTTATATATAAATAAAGATATATCATGAGTGAGAGGAACGGACCTAAGCTGGAGCTGAAGCTGAATTTGTCACCGCCGAGGCGCCATCCGGCTTCGCCGAGCCGATCGGTGACGGTGTCGCCGCCGAGCTCGTGCGTGTCGATGGAGCTGCAAGAGGAGAGGTACTCGTCGAGCCCGGAGACAACGTCGTCCATGATGCTGGTGGGGTGTCCCAGGTGCTTCATGTACGTCATGCTCTCCGAAGAGGATCCCAGGTGCCCCAAGTGCAAAAGCACCGTCCTGCTAGACGTCATCCCCGACGCCGCGCCGCCGCCGCCGCCCGCCGCCGCCGCTCCCACTGCCCGCAAGACAAGAAAGCGCTAGACAGACCCAAGCAGAATCCTCTACCAACAAATTTCTAGTAATATATATATATATATATATATGTATGTAAGTGGCACTATTGGAGCTCCATTTTTAAACCAGCATTCGGACAATCCAAAAAGAAGAAGAGTGGAGCCTCAATAGTGCTACCTTCTTCTTCTTCTTCTTATTATTATTATTTTTCTTTCGACTTTTCTAAGCAAGTTAAGCTAAGCATAGGAATTGGATCTGGTCTGGTCTGGTCTGGTATAGCTGCAGGCAGCGATGTCGGCGGGTGCAGATTTGTGCTTTCTTTAGCAGAAAATCAACTATGTTCTATCCTCCCTCCCTCCCTGTGCCCCCAAATTTTCTACTAAGATATAAATCTCCTGTCCCTGGCCCCGGCCCCCTTAATTAGCTGATAATACGATTTGAATTTCTTGAATTCAATTCCATCTTGCAACGCAACTTCCACAGCAGCCTCCACAAAATCGAACATTCCTTGTCAACGCAGAAGAAGGAATTGAAGAGCAAAATCCATTAGCTAATAAAAATATCACAAGATTTCCATTCGAGGTTTGACAGGAAATATGGGCAAGTCCTGGCCTGGTGGACACAAATTAATTTCACACTTGTATGTACATTGGTAGCATAGGTTTTTTATTTTATTTTATTTTTGTCTGGACCCACTAGCAGCTAGCTAGGTGCATATGGCAGCCCTCAACCCCACTCCACATTCCTAAAAACATGCCCACTTTGCTCTGCATGTTTCACCAAGGATGGGAGAATAAACCACACACCACACCACACCAACATACATAATCTAATTTGTCAAACCCTCTCAAATTTCTAATATTGACAAAAATGGGTGCTCCAAACACTTGTCTTGTTTCCATCACTTATAGCCCTCAATTGAACATCCATCACTATTCACTTTGCATATACTAATAAACTATACAAAAATAAAATAAAATGTGTAATATACAGGAGAAGAAATTAATGGGGGCAAATAAGTAAAGTTTAGAGTGAGAAGAAGGGATGATTAAGTAAGTGCACATAGGAAGGATGGGGTTGGGGGTAGTTTGAGCATTTAAACAAGGGAGGGAGGGAGGGAGGGAGGGGGTGGGTTGGGGTGGGGTGGGTGGATTGGGGGGGCTCTATATTTAGATTGAGAGACAATTAAAACCAAATAAATGCAAGAGTAATTGAGACAGTTGAGAGTAATGAGGCTATTACGTCATATGATAAATACAAATTAAATTCACAAGCAGGGAGAGAGGCCCTTTTTCTAAATGACATCAATCTCCATCTTCATCAGCTGCACTTCTTGATTTATACTGTATATGTATATCTATATATTATATATATATCTATATATTAGTTGCATTGTAATGTATCTTTACTTCCCTTGTCCACTAAATGCCATCTTCCCCCTTTGAACTCTCTCTCTCTACTCCATCTTCCCATATTCATATCCATTTACTACCTTCCCCTTTTCTCCCTCTACCTACACCATTTGCTCACCTCACACCCCTCCCCACCCTCCCCCTTTCCCCCATCTCCAAAAGTTCCATGATTCATGACGTAGACAAAAATGCTTGTTCTTAATTATGTTGTCTGAAATATCTTACATGCATGAATGCAAAATATCATCACCAAAGAATTCAACAAAAGCCGCGGTTAGTTGTGAAGGAGATCCATCCAATAACACGGCGCCGCTGCCCACAAGAAGAATAAGGAAATGAAAAAGAAGAACTGAGGAAATGATAGAGTGTCGACTACTATATTTGCATAAGTGGCTCCATAGTTAATACCACGTTATCCTAATGTCTAAGTCATGTTTTCGAGTGTGTTGGGACATATGGTTTTGGCTACCAACACAACAAAAAAAGGTCAGTTCTTGATTTCGGCATATATTGGTCCCTACAAATTCGACATGAATGTAGCTAGGACAATTGTCCAACAAAAAATAGCATTGCCAATAAATCGTGGGAGAATGTAATCCAACCCCCCGCCCCCCTCCGGACCACATACCCCTTTTTTTGCACGATTAACTCTAAAGTTGTTTTCAGATTGCGCTTAAGTCTTCCAAGTTTTTTTACCATAACAATAAATGCAAAATTATAGTCCACCTAAATATGGATCATTAACATCGCAATTAGGATACCAATCCATGGCAGTCCAATTATTATACCCCCCACCCTTGATGATGGAAGTGAATTTCGTTCAGTAACAAAAACATGCTAACTTCGAACTGAATCAGACCAATCAATAAAATGGAAGCTTTAACATTTACTGCCTATGCCAACTTGATTAGAACCATCGACTTGAAGAAACTGCTGTGCTGTGACTCTGCAGTTATCACCTAACATATTATAAAAGAATTTACTGTTGTCACAGATGCCTTCAAGTATCACGGCAGTCAACAGTAGAAAAATTTTAGGTAAAAGAACTGCATCATTCCACGAAAAAAAAAAAAAAAAGTATCCCAGGAAAAAAAGTTCATCCGAGGAAAGCGATGATAATAAAATCCAGCTAATTTTATTTGTTTGTAGAATATAAACATCTGCCTTGAAGTATCACTACAGTCAACAGTGGGGAAATTATAGGTAAAAGAAATGCATCTCAGCAAAGAAACAAATAAAATAAAACAATGCATCCAGGAAAGGGGTGATGATAAAATTCTGCATCTTTTTTGTTTTTAGAATATAAACATCTCCCTTGAAATATCACTGCGGTCAACAGTAAGAAAACTACAGGTAAAAGAAATGCATTCCACAAAAAAAAGCATCCAAGAGAGCGGTGATTATAAAATCCTTCTAGTTTTATTTGTTTATAGAATATAAACATCTACCTAGAAGTATCACTGTGGTCAACAGAAGGACAATTATAGGTAAAAGAAATGCATTCCAAGAAAAGAAAAAAAAAAAAAAAAACATAAAAGAGAAGAGATAGATCATGAAATCATGTTTACTTTATATATAGGTTAAACTGAATATTTAGTTAACCCTGTAGTAAACTAATTTTGTAAATCAACTTTTTTTTCACCTCTAGTCTTCCAACGAAGATGGCTGTGTGGCACCCGCGTGTCTCGTCGGAAGACACGTGCCCGTCTGGCCAGCGACACCACACGGACACATGAATTTTTAAATTTTTTTTACAAATTTGATTTGTTTATTTTGTCTTTCTTTTTTAAAATTAAAAATTTGAAAATAAAAATCCCCGCCAACGAACACGTGTCCTCCGGCGAGCCACATGAGTGGCACGTAAATATCTTCGGCGCTCGAGGACTAAAAGTGCGAAAATTATTGACTTACGGTTTAGTTTGCAACATGCTCCTATTAGGGGACTAAAATAATAAATTGATCTAGTTAGGAGACTAAAAAAGCAATACCCTTGTATATATTTATAGATATCAACTAGAGAGAATAATTAACCTTATTTTTTTTTACATTACATTAAAATTAAAAAAAACCAAGAAAATATACCTATTCAAAGTACTTTCATGTATATATGTATATATTTTTCTTATTTAATAATACGAAAAATTCAGTTAAGTGCATATTTATTATTTTCGCTTTTAGTAGTGATAATGTTGTAGTTCCTCATTTTGTTGACATTGACATGTAATTCTTGACATATATCTATTAATTTACCTTTGATTCATTGTGTATACTTGTTATATTGATCCTCTTTCTATAATTTTTTTTTTTTGTAAGTGATGGTGCTTCCGTTATGCCTAAATAATGTATCCATGCTGCATGATTCATTCGGGAAAATAGAATTATCTCATCGTAGGATGTTTTTGAGTTTACTACCAATGTTTAAGAATTAATGCTTTATGAACTGATTTCTTCCTTATGTTTTTTACTAGAATTATTATTATTATTTTTGTGATAAGTGGGTGTGCTTTATATTTTATGTTTTTATTTAATTATTTGTGTTAGGTATTTTAACGTTAGCACTACAACGTGAGACTCATTAATTAATAAATTAGTCTTCCAATACAGCAGGACCTTCATATTCCTCTACAACTATTTATGTCCTTTCTCAAATAATAATAATAATAATAATAATAAACCTCTGCGTCTGCCGCTCATCTCTTTTTATAATAGTTTATATAATGAAAATAATAGTAATACTTAAAAAAAAAAAAAAAAAAAAAAAACAACATGCATTGCTTGTGTGCTCTATTTTTATTTTTCTTTAATTTTCTAGATATATATGTATATGTAATAATGTGACGTCTTGGCTCGCAAGTCACGCAAAGTCGAGCGTGAAGGGATCGTAAAGTGGTCTTGACGCTTCTGTAATCCTCAAATTATTCCAGAGCAAGTACACTTAACGGTAGAGTTCTTTCAGTAGAACTCCCGAAAAGAAATGTGCACATTGTTGACATAAATAGTCTATTCGATTCATTTAATCTATATTCAACTTTGAATGACCTGACACCGGCTCATTTATGGGAGTTGGCCTAGCACCAGGTCAACTCGAGGGTATTACAAATAATAAGATAAAAATAATAATAATAACAAAATAATAATAATAATTTTAATTTTGTACAGGTCGGTCCGGAGGCGGACCTACATGGGGCTAGGGGGCAGACCCTCAACCCCCAAAATATATGTATTTTTTGTATAAAATATAATAAAATTATATATATTTATAGTAATTTGTCCTTTTTTTTTTATCTTATAGGAAATTCTATGCCTCCAATCAAAATAGGCACTCATGCAAAAAGGCAATTACAAGGCACTTATAATTAAATTGATTGAATAGACTATTCATGTCAATAATGTGTATATTTATTTTCAGAAGCCCTACTGAAAGAACTCTAAAGTTAAATATATTTGCTCTATAGTAATTTGAGGATAAGTGACTCCTTGTAAAACACCATCACCTACAAAAACTTCATAGAAAGAGGATAAACACAACGTTTTAGTAGCACAATGAACCAAAGGTAAATTAATACGATATATGCGAAGAATTACATGACTATCAAAAAATTATTTGGAAAAGATAGGTTAAATGAATTTGCACATAACACACAATGACAACTCACATACACAAGTTTGTTTTAGTGCCTCCCTTATGTCTCCATTTTATACTCAAATAATTGTGGTGAATACATCACGAAGAAAACTCCACTAGGTCTTAATTAGGGCCGGCTCGACCAGGTTTCCCAATCTTATTACTTCGCTTGACATATCACACAAATACATATAACAAAGATAGGGGTCATAACACTCAAAGAACTCCACAAATGATACATAAGGATTCAAGGCCCAAAGTACACGTATGACAACTTATTCACTAGTTTGTGAGGGATGCACAACGGTCAAACCATCTAGATTCATATATAACATGCCAACAGGGGATTGTGCACAATTCAACCCTCCATCAAGGATGACAATTTAAAGATCATTTTATCTTGAATGACGTGCATCTCGGAATCACCCAAAAGGAAACACGTTATCTTCATGCCACAACCTAGCCCATTCGGGATCTAGTTCGATGTTAACTAGTTATCTTAAATTACAGGTATACCTATGCTTTATCATCCTATGTGATCGACGACTTGATCGGATTCGACGAGTAGTTCCAATTAACCATTTGACCCAATAC